CCAGAAATGTAATCAAGAACTTATTTCCACTTTATTGTTCTGAATAGTTTTTTTGTGCAGATAAAAAAAAACATTTTAAAAAACACCAGAAGGAGCAACATTGTAGTAGAAAGAGTTCATAGGTAATTTAAGAACATTATATATAAGGTAATGTGTACAATACTCCCTTATGTAGTAGTTGATTTACTCTTCAGTATCCGGGGGACTGTCTTCGAGTGATTTGAGTCAGGATCAGGGCCTGAAACAACAGGTTTTAATTTTAGGAAGTCTGTATTTTCTTTTCTATGAAGCATTTCTTTGTTTTTCTCAAAGGACAAAGTCACACACTTGCTGTGCCCCTCAGACTTCAGTAATAATCTTGTTCTGCTTCAAGCAATTATGTTTGAAGATTCCAACTATTTTTCTAATATGTTGCATATATTTCTCTTTTTTAAGAGAGAATTCTGAGGAAGATCTTGTCACTTGATTTGTATCAGATTCAGTCAGAAGTGAAGCAGGAAATGTGTATTCATGACTGCATAATAATGGAGAGTTCTAACATAGGTAGTTAAGTTTCAGCATTTTCAGCAATATGCTGAAGACAGCAAGGGACCTGTCTCCCTGCACAAGCAAGATCAATCACAGGCTTGCTGTGTAGCCTCCACTTAGGCTTTACATTGGTTGTTTATCTTTCTACATTTTGGGTACTAAAAATGCATTTCCTCTTTCTGGATAAGGGGGGAAAAAATCAGTCTTCCAAGAATTCTCATCTTTAATCTTTAGTCTTATTCTTATTGTATGGAAACACAAGAAAGGAGCCTTAGCATTTATTATGTGCTCTGGCAAGCAGCAGGGCAGTGACACTTCCCCAGCTCCTGTCTCCCCTACTTTGTTATATCCTGAGTTAATGATCACATTTACATTTTCCAAAAGTAAGAACAAATCCTAATAGTGGCTGGTGCAAATTTTTTGTCACTGAAATGATGTGAATGAGAATTTGAATATGAATTACCCATTATGAGGTAGCATTACAATGCTTGAAAGGCTGGGGATGGCAGAGAAGAGGGTTGAAAAAGGATACTTGCTCCATTTCTGATGGTTTTTGTACAGGTATCATTAGCATTTAAAATACAGGTCATTTTTCCAAGGAATAAATTCCTGTCAGTAAGCACAAGTCGTTGGTAGATCATCTTGGTTTGTTTATTTTCACATTCTGAATAAAGCCAGAATATTTGGTAACATCAAGGTTTTGACACCCCACCTTGTCCTGAGAATTGGCTTTAATGCCAAAAGGCAGCCTTAAGAAACTCCAGCCAGTCTCTCACCGACTTTAATTTTTTGTCTCCGAACTGGTTTTACTTCAGACACAAAGAAGATTCCAGTTCAGCCTTTTCATAGAATCCATAACTTTTTCTGCAGAAAGCAGTAGGTTCAGAGTACAGAGGGATCACCTCTGTCATCCTGAGTTTGAACAGATGCAGCAGTCGTGACAAAGAGACAGACTGAATTAAATGTTGAAGATTCCAGTCTACAGATAGAGTTTTGCCTATAGTGACATCATAGAATATCAATATAATAATATAACTTCTAGTGATATCTCAGCAAATCAAAATCTAACCTTAAACATTTGGTTTCAAATCAATTTCCCCTCGAATATTGATATAGTATTGAGCTGTTTTTCTTTTCCTTACAGAAATAAGGATTATTTTTTTCACTAAAGAATATATTATAGCATTAGACATTTGATATACTGTTAATTGAATGTCTAGCAGCCTTGCTGACAAAGCATGAAAGGAATAGAAAGTTATGAGTATTTGTTCTGGGTAGGACTACTAAATTCTAGGAAGAAGTATTCTGGATGAGTAAATAAACAGAAACTGAGATAAGAGCACTACTGAAAATAGTGTTCAGAACATATGAGCTCTTTGTTTTTATTTATTGTGTATTCTGTTCTCTACTGGAGCTGCCTAGTTTGTAGAAATATGCGTTGATAATTTATGAGGGAGAAAAACGTATGTTAACCAGAAAAGACTTATCTAGTGAATATATGTTGCTCACTGTGTGTTTATGATCTAATGCTTCCTTGGGTGCTTTGTCTCTTATCCAAAGTGTGTAAGTTTAGAATATATGTAGTATTCTGAAATGCAGTGTTTGTTTTTTGGCAGTACAGGCCTGACTGTGCGCTGATCAGAGCATATTCCACGTACTGACTTTCTATGGCCTATATTGATTCTTTTTTTAACGTAACTTTATGATCTAAATAAAGACCAAGGCCATTGTACTGTCAAAATCAAGATGGGGAAAGCTGAAAGAAATAAGTAAAAATAACTTAGATTGTTGTCTGATGCTACTAATCAATCAAAACTTGCAACAGTTTCTTATAAATAGATATATTGCATTTATTGAATCTCTATTGTTAACTGGGTAGAGTGGCATAATAAAAGGTACCAGAGGGCCTGTAGTGCAGAGCCTGAATTTTAGGCTCTCCTTCCTCCTTTCTGCAGAAGTCAAAGCTAACTGCTAACATGCGGTGGTGTTTCCTTTTTGGGTTTTTTTTTTCCACTTGGCCTAATCTATCATTCCATGCCTGCAGCTATAGAGTGCTTTAAGGTGAGGAATCAATAAGAAAAAGTAGGTTTGAGTTTTAAGGTTTAGACTGTAAATTAAATGTTGTAATTACTTTATCTTGATTAGACAGTGGCCTGTTCTGTACTTGATGTGAGGAGGGGAGGGTGGGGAAGTGAACAGACAGGTGGAAACATTATTTATCCCCTTTGTGACATACCATAATATTTTCTTGTATTTTCTGTGTAGAGCAGTCAGCTGGCTTCAAATCTTTGAGGCTTAAATTCTGCAGTTGCTATAAAGTACTAAAATCTTCTAGAGAAAGAATGTTCTTGGTAAATAGAAATGAATGACTACCAGAGATTTGCAGAGAACTTGAGAATTTTAGGTATATGGGATTATATGGGGATGTTTCAATGTCTAATTTTGTACTAAGATGCAAAGATTTCAACACTTATCCTACTTCAGGTGCCTAAGCTTCATCAGTTTGTCCAAAGTTAATATATATACATTGTGGAAATTAAAAATGCTCAAAAATATACAGTAACACTATGACATCTAAACTGTATATGTTGTAAAATAGACAGATGTGTAAGTTGCTGGTGGGATCCAACCAGTGTTTTGACTTGAATTCTTTTGTATATGTTAGTGTGTTGTTTTTTTTTTTTTTTAAAAACAAACAAACAAACAAACAAAAAAAGAGTACCTTACAGGTATCTGGGTCATTTAACAGTTGTGATAGGAATCTACTTACTCATGGAAGTTTCTTTGTTTTATTTCAACCTTCTCTTCCACACTTCTTATTTTCTTTTGAGAAGCTGTGATCACTATCAGCTTGAAATCACCTGTGAACTTGGTTAGTATGGTAAATCATAGGATGGCTTGGGTTAGAAGGGACTTCAAAGATCATCTAGTTCTAACACTAGCCATTGGCAAGGATGCCAAGCCCTAGATCAGATTGCCTGGGGCCCTATCCAGCCTTTTTTATACAGTCCATAATTCTGTTGAGGTCCCTTTGGATGACGTCCCTTCTTTCTGTTGCATCAACTGCACCACTTGGCTATGTTATCTGCAAACTTGCTGAGAGTGTGCTCAATCCCATTGTCTGTGTAACTGATGATGATGTTAAAGAGCACTGGTTCTAAGACCAGACATCTGGAGGACACACAGTGTCTTCTGTCTGAACATAGTCTTTGACTGCAACTCTCTAGCTCTAGCCACCCAGCCAGTATCCACCAAGTAGTCCATCTTCTGAATCTTTATTTGTCCAATTTAGAGATAAGGATGTTGTGTGGAATCACTTCAAAGAATTTCAGCTTGTCCACCAATCGCTCCTTTATAGGAGACCACTAAATTCATTGGGTACAATGTGATGCCTTGGTGAAGCCATGCTGGTTGTCTTGAATCACTTCTTTGTCTCATGTGTACATTAGCAGAGTTTTCAGAAGGATCTGTCCTAAGTGCTTTCCAGGCACAGAGGTGAGGCTCACCAGTCTGTAGTTCTCTGGGTCTTCCTTTCTACCTTTCTTGAAAATGGGAATGGGAATGTTGTTTCCCTTTTTCCAGTCGCAAGGAACTCTGACTGCAACAGACTTTGAATATGATGAAAATACAGTAATTTCTGTATTTTAGCCCAATGTATCTTCAGATAATCTGTTTTTACATGCATATTTCTGAAAGAAATATGACATCATCAGTATGCCAGATGACTGGTCTTAGCCAGTCCAAGGAGGACTGACTTGAGGAAGTTTAAGCTTTACATACATCTGCAAAACTGAACTCTAAACCTTACTATTTATTTTTCTTTAACCTAATTTATTTCTTGAGAAAGTTTTATTTTGCAGAATCTGTGTTATATAAACCAACATTTTATTGTTTTTACGGTAAAATTAACCTAGAAAAAAATTGAATTATGCAAGCGATTTTCAAGGCATTGGAAGCAAGTACACTATTTCTAAATCGTTTGCTCTTTCTTTCAGCAGAACTTACCTTCAGTTACAATTCACTCTTTTGGTATTTCATGTAACCTCTAACTGCTTCAAAACTGCTAATGCTGATCATTTTCAGTACAACAGGCGGAGTTTTATTAGTCCTGCTATTTTTAAGGCACTTAAGTTTTCTAAATAGTCTTCAGTATACTTTCCTTCCCAGGACTTTCTTATGACTCCTTTCTCATCAAGTGCCATTATAAGAATCTGTTGTCCATTTTTATTTTGTCAGTCCAAAGTGAAACAAAGCTTGCTTTTGCAAGTTTTTCTTCCTTTTAGTGAGTTATCCGCTATTTCCTCTCAGCTTTCATTACTACTCCCCTTGTTCCTTGTGGCCTGAATGCAATCTGGTCCTCTTTCATACCTTTCAGAACACATTTTTTTTATACCATACTTGATACTGTTGTTGTCTCTCTTTAAAGAATATGCTCTTCTGAAAATAATGTTTGGTTACCTGTGTTTTTCCAGCTTTAATTTCTTTGATGCTTCAAGTTGGTTTTGGAGCACAGAGTAAGCTACAAAAGTGAAACCACAAAATTCACAGAAACCACAGGTCCTTGGAGCAAGATTTCTCCTCACTTAAGATGAGGATGTTATTGTTGTTGCTATCATAACTAGTTGCTTTTGTTTCCTTTGTGCATATGGAATGAAATAATTTTTTCAGTGATGTCTAAGATACTTACCATGTGTTTTTTGTTAATATTTTAATAAATTCACATTTTTCATGAATGTGTTTAAATGGGTATGACAACAGTTGTCTTCCTATGTTTTCAGTTGTTAAGGCAATAGCATCTAATCAACTTCTAATTATGAATAAAAGTTCAAGAAATCAATTTCTGCCTAGTAACTCCTTGGAGCTCACAGACTTTCTGACAGTTAAAATTGTATGACAACTCAGAATTTCATTAATTAAAAATGTATATGTTTACTGTTATTGTAGTTGATTAATGTGGTATATGTATATGCTGAAATTAAAGAAACAAGATTTAAATTACTGTTTAAAAAAAAAAAAAAACTGTCCTATTTTGGTGCTGTATGGCTGTATGTAAAGGTATTGCCCTGCATTATTTTAGTTCTTTTAAATGTCTCATTAAGAAAAATCAATTTGCCAATTTATCATTTCTTTGCAGAGTAAATTTTAATGAGTGAAGTTGCAGTAATGAGTTAAATCCATTTTTTCTAAAGAATATTTTTTCTTTTGTGGAGACTGAATTTTTAGGTGTAAAATTATTATTGCTCTTATAGCAACAATGATATTGTTAGTATTTGGTGTACATAGGAGGAAGGCTTTTATGGAAATCAAGTTACACTTTTTCCTTCATTTAAAAAAATCTTTGTGTTGGATATTTGAAGGAATTGTAAAACTGTTGGACTCACGGCTTCTAGAAGTAGAAGTGATATGGTATATATCTTAGTTAAATAATCCACATTTGGGTATATTTGTTAGCTGAATATTCTCTAGTTATTTGGACTTAACATTATCCTGAAGGGAGTTTAAAGCTTACATTTTTTATAATCACCCTTTCTATTCTGACTCCAAGCATTTCAGTATATAGTTGGAGAGGTAATCTTAATGTGGTCTTTTTTATGTAAAACATGTCGGTCTTGAGTTTGATAGAACTACACCCCATCACTGGAGCAAGACAAGCATTTATGCAATAGAAACCATAGGGGTAAGGAATGGAAGGTTTTTGTTCTTGTTTTTTTAACATTTAGTAAGGAAGAAAATGCTAAATTCACTACTTCAGCCTAAGCCAGTTAATTTCCTGTTTCTGTTTTTATTGAAATCAGGAGTATTTAAGATCTTACATAAGTGAAACTTGGTAAGGGTCTGTTGTAGACATTAACATCTGTGTTACTGATGAATTTTTAGTTACAGGTAGACCCTGACACATCCCAGTTAATTGTTTCCATTTGCTTTAGTGTTTCCTTGTAACACATGACAAATGCAAATTATTCAGGCAGAATTTATCTATTTAAACCAGTTTGTATATGGGGAGGGCCATAAAATGTTTGAGAAATATAAAATGGATGGCTATTACACTCTGAGTTAGGCAGCCAAATTGATCATATAATTTAGAAGGTATTCATTTTTTATCATTAGATTAAATGCATGAATTTCTAGGTTAGTCTTAATTTTTGATATTTTCATCTGTCAGTGCTAGCAACTAAAATTTCAATCAAATTCAATTCAAATTTCAATTGCATTTTGGATTTTTCTATTTGACTGATGTAAGTGTATTATTGTGGTATCATAACACACAGCGGGATTGAATAGTATTTTAATAGACAAAAAGCCAGGATAGTTCTACGAAGAAACACAAATGTGAATAAGATAACTGAAATGTCTTGCTAATTCTGCTGTTTTTCACTGACACTTATTTTCTTAAACTTACCCTCTTCATACTATGAAGATGGAATTGAAATAGATATAAATAGTGGGGTACACTTGTAGAAACAAGAGAAAAATTAAGAGCAAGGGGAACATCAAACACAGATGCACACCTTATGCTAGGAGCTAAAGGAGGAAGAATATGACATGACAAGACATCACCAGAAAAGTGGGATAGCAATTGATATGGGAAGGAGAGTGAAGGGAAGAGTACTTATCAACGCCTTCATATTCCCTACCTGTTAGATCCTTCTGTCTTAGCATCAGACAACAGATGCTGCTTTACTGTGCTACGACACAAGATCCTTTTCTAGCTGGAAACAGTCAGGAGCTAATGGAAGTGTTCAGGAATGCAACTTAGTAGTCTTGAAAATGCCCCAAGGAGAATCTATAAGTTCTCAATCAGTAGCATGTAGAATTTCTAAAATACAGATTTGAGTAGATGTGATTTTTACCTGCTGAAACTGCTCTCAGTTCTTTAATGCTGCTGAAGTCTGTTGCTGTTGAGACCTCACTGTTTTCTTTGATCACCTGCTTTGAACCTTGCAGTTTATACGCCTGCAAGAGATGCACTGTAAGGAATCTAACTTTGAGTAAATCCACTCAGCTGCCAGGGTAGGTGATGGGCCAACTACCAGACAATATTAGTGCTAGCGTCTTATTGGTACAAAATCAGTTTGTGTATCAGATCCTCAAAGCACAACATCTGCATGTAGCTCTTTATCGGTTTTAGAAAACAAACAACAAATTCTCCACAGCTCTGTTGTTCATTATTTTATCAGGATGTTGTCCTTTCAGTATTTTCTTAAACAGTGGAAGTAGCACAATTTTAAACACATTCCACCTTCTCAAATACTCTTTCTATTGGAATTTTGAGGAAAAAACGTGAATAAATCTTTAAATTTATGTTCCAGTATTTAGGAATGAAAATGAGCATTTGCATTTTTTCTTGTTCTTTTCAGAAAGTGTTTTTGTTTTTTGTTGTTTTTTTTTTTTTTTTTTGCATTTCAGTAGGCTGTGGCTAGCAGTTACATTAGACTGTACAGTATATAACCTTTGGAGCAAAATACTGCTTTTTGTAAAAGTTATAAGATCTTAAAGGAAAGATGCTAATTTTGAGGGACATATAAGAATACTTGTATGAAATCTACTAGTTGATAGGAGAATAATGGCTACTCACATCTTCTGAATGCAGTTGTTCAACATTCAGGGAAATCTTTATAAAGAAAATGACCACACATAAAAAGTCCTTCTCTTATCAGCATAGGCACTTAATTGACTTCTCTGATCATTAAAACAAATTAGAGTACATTCTCCCCAACTCCCCATGGAACTTTTATCTCAACAGAGAATTGTAAAACTATTCACTGTTGCAATACAAAACAGAAAACCATGTTTCCTATATACTGTCTGTACCTAAACGTGTTTTTTTCTCTTGTCTTTGGCTTGTCTTCCCTCAAATGAGCATAGCTCAGCTAAATTCCTCTTTTTTGTCTGCCTCTATAAGACAGTTTGAAGTCTACTTCAGTACTAAAACCTGTTCGAAGATTTAACAGAATACTGTTTACTTAAATAGTAACTTCTTCATATGCTCTAGGAGCCATATTTTGGGATAGCAATGCTGTAAGTGTTGTTTCCTAAGTACATAATTTCTTCTGCTTGATTAATTTTGTTATTCCACTTAATAATACTGTTTCCTTTGCTGAAACCCTGTTTCAGTAATTCAGCTTCACTTGTGTTGGCATCACAGGAAGGTTGATCGAGCGGTTGTATTTTCTGCCATTTTTACTTATTAGATTGTAAGCTTTGTACAAATTATCAAGACCACCTTTGACAAAATAACTTACTATTATTTTCCTAGTTGCCATGTATGTCTTACAGTAGTAGGATTTGAAGATCATTTCATCTTCTACAAAATACAATCTGTGTTTCTCATTCCCAGCAGATGTTTTTTTCAGTTGGCTCTTAATAACCTCTAATCATTTCAAGTAAACTATTATAATGCCTTTTAAAAATTGTTGTTCAAAAGATTATTCCAGAAGTCTACTTTGATTCTTCATTCTTACTGTGGAAATTCAATAAAGCTGGACACAAAGAATGTTTTCCATTTGTTTATGTATTCCCCCTTGCCTCCATGTCTTATTACTTTTCTAAGTTCATGTTTTCTGGACACAGTAAGCACCTGGAGCTCTCAGTGCAGAGCTCAGTGGAAGATTCATTTTGCGTGCCTTGCAAGATGTCTTCTGGCTGTTCTAATTGTTTTTTGCAAATGAGCAAAATGTTTGACTCATGTTGAGTATATGATCTTTTCTGATCCCAGATTTTGATCAGTGAAGAGAATGGTATGCCTTAAGTGCTTTAAGGATATAACATTGTATTTTAGTGAAATTGCACCTTTTTTTGAGGACCTAAATTGACTTGCAAGTCAGGACAAGTACTTATTTTTGGTTGTGATTTATTCTTAATTTCTCTTGAAGATTAAAATAATAATTGCTTTTCCCAAATGCAAGATATTCTGAATCAGCATTAACTGACACCAAAGACAGGAGGGATCTCTTCTCTCTTCCATTCCTGCTCTCCTCTACTGTTATTCCTTTCACAGCATCCAGAATGCAATCTTGTGCCCTTTCATTAACTGTGGTATTCGTATAATCCTTTTCTGAGCCATTGAATGCTTTAAAAGGCATAAAATTATCCAGGTTGAATTGTAGTGCTGTTTTAGTGAGTTGCATTTACTTTCAGAAAGGTGCATTGCTAGCATGATAATGGGGTGAGTGGAATACAGGAACATGAACTCCCATTGTAAAGGAGCGTAGTTGTTCAGCTATTTTACTGGATGTTTTGGAGCCCTGATCTTACTAAGTTGAAGAAGAATACTGTTTTTCCCTGCAAGTTCTGTTTTCCTTATCTCTGTAAATTATCATTTTCAAAATGATGATTGGAGAAAAGGCAGCTTTTATTGAACTTGGAAATCATTCATCCCTAATATACTAATCAAGATGTACTTTATTGTTGTCACAAACAAGATAATTTAATCAAACAGGAGAAGTTTTCAGCTGCAGAGAATGACTAAACAGTAGAATGCATGTTACTCTGACTTGTGCAGCACAGTTTCTTTCTGGCAATGAAAGAAAATGCAGTTTAGAAATACATTTGCACAAACTTGTCAGAGCACAAATAACTCAAATTTACCTTTAATTCACATGGTAAAAATAACATGGCTTTGCGTGTTTTGGCTGAGGAGAGGTTTTGGTAAGGGA